CTCACAGAGATCCACCTGCCTCTGCCTCCCGAGTGCTGGGATTAAAGGCGTGTGCCACCAACGCCCAGCTTAAATAAATAAATCTTAAAAGCAAAAACAGTATGGGTATGGTGGCCATGACTATAATCGCAGTACTCTAGAAGCTGAGTTTGGAGATTCACTGTGAATCTGAGGTCAGCCTGGGCTGTATAAGTGAGTTGCAGATCATTCAGAGCCATATAGCAGGACCCTGTCAAAAAACAAAGAAACAAACAAACAAAACAAAAGAACAAGGCTGGCCGGGTGTTGGTGGCGCACGCCTTTAATCCCAGCACCAGGGAGTTCGAGGCTAGCCTGGTCTACAGAGCTATTTCCAGGACAGTCTTCAAAAACAATACAGAGAAACCCTGTCTCGAAAAACCAAAAAAAAAAAAAAAAAAAAAAAAAGAACAAGGCTGGAGTATAGCCCAAAAATCAAAAACACAAATTCAAACAAACAATCCTCACAGTTTGATATTTATGGCAAATTTGAGTGGAAAGTACAGAGAGGGTTTTGTTGTTGTTGTTTTTGTTTTTGTTTCTTCCAAGACATGATTTCTCCATGAAGTACTGGCTGTCCTGCAACTTGCTCTGTAGACCAGGTTGGCCTTGAACTCAGAGATCCACCTGCCTCTGCCTCTGCCTCCTGAGTGCTGGGATTAAAGGTGTGCACCTGGCTAAGTACAGAGAGACTTATACACCCCCTTTCCTCTGTCATTCTGCACTATTAACACCGTACAGCAGAGACACATACTGATCACAGTCAGTGAAGCACAGTCACCCAGAGTCTACAGCACATGTTAGGTTAGTTTCTGTTGTGTTTGGGGACAGAGTCTTACATTCCCGGGCTGGCTTTGAACACGCCTCCTGCACCTACCCAGCAAGTGCTAGAACTACAGGCACATAGCACTATACCTAGATGTCTTTTGTTTCATTTTGTTTTGATTTTCGAGACAGGGTTTCTCTGTGTAGCCTTGGCTACAGACCAGGGGGCCTGAATTCATCAAGATCCGCTTGCCTCTCTCTGCCTCTGCAGAGATTAAAGGTGCGCCCCACCACCTTCCGGCTTCCCAGATGTCTTAGTCGGGGTTTCTATTGCAGTGATGAAGCACCATGACCAAAAGCAAGCTGGGGAGGAAAGGGTTATTTCTGCTTACACTTTCACATCACTGTTCTTCATCAAAGGAAGTCAGGACAGGAACTCTTATATTTTTGGTTGTGAGCCTAGCCTTTAACGGCTGAGCCATCTCTGCAGCCCCATGACAGGAACTCAAACAGTACAAGAACCTGGATGCAGGAGCCGATGCTGAGGCCACAGAGGCGTGCTGCTTACTGGCTTGCTGCCCATGGCTTGCTTAGCCTGCTTTTTTTATAGAACCCAGGGTCATAGGTGACCCTGTGCACAATGTTTGGGTCCTCCCCATCAATGACTAGTTAAGAAAATGTCCTGCAGCCTTGCCCGAGGCGGATCTTTTTTTTTTTTTTTTTTTGGTTTTTCAAGACAGAACTCTATGTAGTTTTGGAGGCTGTCCTGGCACTCGCTCTGTAGACCAGGCTGGCCTCGAACTCACAGAGATCCACCTGCCTCTGCCTCCCGAGTGCTGGGATTAAAGGCATGCGCCACCAACGCCGGGCCTCCCGAGGTGGATTTTAGGGAGACATTTTCTCAACTGAAGCTCCTCCTCTCCAGTGACTTTCGCCTGTGTCAATTTGACATAAAACTATCCCGCACACCTGCTGAAGCTCATCGTGGTGGATACACAGTCTGTGCATCATGACATGTGTGTACATGATTTCAATTCTTTTGGGTAAATATCAAGAAGAGGTTAAATTTTGTAAGAAACCATCTTTCAGAGACTGGTGTGGTGGCTCTCGCCTTTCATCGCATCATTCTGGAAGCAGAGGCAGAGACGAGTGGATCTCCAAGTTCAAGACCAAGCTGTCTACACAGAGAGTTCCAGGAGAGCCAGGGCTACCCAAAGAAACCATGTCTCAAAAAACAAATCAAATAAATTGATTACATTAAATAAACCGTCTTTCAAAGTGGTTGTGTGCCCACCATCACTAGGTGTTTGAATTTGTCGTTCTTCTCCTCCTCTCCCATGCTGGGGTCTGGACTTGGGGGTTTGTGTGTGCTAGACTAAGCCACTGAGAGCCTGTTTCCACCTTGGGGTGTAGCTTTGGAAGTGCCCCCTTGAATTTAGCCAGTTGACACCATCCAGCAGGGACTTGAGTGTACCTCTGCAGAGCCACTCTGGGAAGCGGCAGCCACCATGACTCAATTACAACCTTTGAACAGCTCTGTGCTGATCAAGCCCATGGACGTTCAGGGCCCGCCTAGGGCAGAACTTCACACATGCAGCACGTCCTCTGGTGTCTTCCCTGGACAGTGCAGCTCCGCACCTTGTAGATATGCACTCAGCCTCTAGCGGCTAGAGCGGACAAAATCTCCAGGCAAGGCCTCTCGGACACGGCCTCCGGAGTCTCGGAGTCCATCGCGGACAATCTCTTGGCAGCGCCGGGCGCCCCCTTGGCTCAGGTCTGGAGGCGCGCCCGGGCATAAGGCCGGCGGGTGTCTATCTCTCAAGCCGCCAGCAGGGGGCGCCCTCTGATCCGCTCAGCTCGCGCGGGCGCGGGGGGGCGGCGCTGCGCCGCGCCGTGCTGCGCTCCAGCCGGGACCCGGCCGGGGCCGCTGGATGCCGCGTCTCCGCTCCTGCTGCCTGCCGGGCGGGCTCCGGCGGCCGGTGAGTGCGGGGTAGTCCCGTGGTGGTGAGCCGGGCCCGGGAGGGTGGCGCGGTGGGCTCGGGCCGGTCGGCGGGGCCCGCGAGCTCCTGCTCCTCCCCTGTCCCCTGGAAGAGGCGGCCCGGACTCTAGGCTCTGTCCCTGGCGGCGCCGCGGGGCTGGACAGCCCGGGTGGGGGCCGATCGGGAGCGGCGAGCAGGGAAAGCGCGGGGCCCTTGCTGGCAGGCTGGGCGCCGGAGGCAGGATAAGGTGGCCTTCAGCTTGGGAGGGACTGAAGGGTTAGAGGACCCAGGTGGCCCAGAGCTGCGGGATGGGGCTGCAGCCTCGGGACTGGGTCGGGGGGCATCTCTGGGCTAGGCCCTAGACCCCCAAGTGAAGCGAGCGGGTGAGGCACTGAGGAAGACAGCGAGGGAAGCGAGCACCTCCGCCGAGTCCTTTATCCCTGCCCGCGGCCTTCACCCTTTCACTGCCAGGCCGACAGCGGGTTCCTCTCTAAGGAGCAGCTGCTAGACAGCTGGCAAAACAATGGAGACCCCGCTTCCCGGGCCCCCTCCTCTTGGGACAGATGATGGGGGCGGGTGGGTGAATGTCAGGCTGGGGGACTAGCCGTGTAGGCTGCCCCGTCACTGGTTGCCCACTTCAGCTTTCCCTGCAGGGGGTGGGGTGTGTGTGGGAAGGTAGGGCAGCCTGCCCCAGGCCTCTGGGAGAGAGTACCGACGCCCCGCCCTGCGAACCTGCCGTGCCAGTTGTTTCGCCAATGGAAGGGGAGGTAGCCGGGTCAGGTGCCCCCGCCCTTCCCTGTGCTAGAGGCACACATGTTGGTACCCAGCGTGACCCAAGGAGTGGGTCACACTCCTGGAAGAGATAAGGCCTTCCGGGACACACCGCAGGTTGGGGTTTTGTTGTGGGGGTGTCGTCCTGTGGCAAGGCACATGTGCCCTACTGATCAGTTGCAAAGACTGCTGCCAGAATGAGCTAGAGACGGCTGGAGGTGGGACGGGAGGACAGCCAACTTATTTTTGTACTCATTTTGCCTGGTCTTTTAGCCAACAAGGCATGTATTTGTCGGCCTCATAGTGTGTGGAAAGGCTAGGGAGACATTTCCTGGAAGGGGCTCTCATGGAGCACCTTCCTGTCCTCAGGTAGTTCTCCAAATGCTAGAATTCTCCCTTCATCTCACTAACGTCCTGGGTTTGTTTGCATAGACTGACTTTACCTCTCTGTGTCCCTGCCATATCTGGCCGAGGAGACCCTGAAAGCGCCCCTATAATAGTTGAGCGAATGCACTGCAGGCATATTGGGAAGAAGGTTGTCCCCCCACCCTTCCACCCCACCCCCACCCCCACCCCCCACCCCCACCACTAAGACCAGGGCCACTCTAGCAGGATGGTGAATCTAGAGGACGCTGATTCAGGCTGCCTTGGCTCACGCTCACCAAATCTGGAGCCTTTTTCTTGAGCAGGTTGATGTCCTGTTGCCATGGCAATAGGCCTGGCTAAACTGTGCACCCACCCTTTCTGGTTCTAGGGCTACTTTCTATTTGGGGATATTGAAAGTTGCTCTCCTGATGTCTCCGGCTTCCTGACAGGCCTTGTAGGGTCTTTGTCAAAGGCCTGCCACCTCCTCACCCCCACCCCCATCCTTTTGTAAGGAGGTTTTCCAGGAAGCATCTTCCTGGTTGCTGGACAAGACTTGGTTGGTTATATATAGCCTTGGGTGGAGGTGTGCTTGGCTATTGGGGACTGAGGATACTGGGAGTGGAGCCTCAATTCCAGGAAAACAATGACTTTGGGGTGAGCTGTTGTGTTGCAGGCTGAGGGGACTGAGGAAGGGTTGTAGCCAGGGGAGGAGGGAGGGAGTAGGAAGGTCACAGGCTATGGATACTTCCTTTGAGAGTTTGGACTTTGGATAGTTGACTACCGGATACTCGGCATCGGAGTGTCTCATTTGTTTGCTCTCTCCTGGCCTGGCTCAGGTCCCGGGTTGTGTGTCTGAAGACTTCTTCCTCAGAAACCCTCATCACATGGATGGTGCCCTTCCTGACTCCAGGGCTGTCTGGGCTTATTGCCCAGATCCCCTTCAATGGCTTTACTGGAGGCTGCTCACCGAAGGGGGCGTGTGTCTTCAAAAACTGGGGACAGGAAGGCTAGGGCTCCCCGGAAGCAGGTATCTGAAGGTGAACTGGGTGGGGCAGAACTTGGCTTTACGTGAAAAGGGAATCCACCCTGCTGGGGTGGAGCAGGGAGCTGGGACTCCGGAAGTCTTCATCCAGATACAGTGTGTCAAAGGATTTCAGGGCAGCTGGCCTGCTCTTGCTGCTCCAAACCACCGATCTGTCCGTAACCTCTGGAGTGGGCACCACAGACTAGAAGCTATGTGAGTGAGTCCTGGTGTAGAGGGTAAAGTGGAAGGGCGGGATCCACTGTGGGCTTTGATTGACAGGTTCTCATGGGACTGAGGACCTGCTGAATGCAGCTTCATATGGTGCTTGGGTTGGGTCCTGGACGCTCTAAGATCTGCACACCTCATCCTACCCCGTCATCATCATTTTCTTTCCCCGCCCCAGCTACTGAGGTCTTTTTTTTTTTTTTAACCATTTTCTGGGGTAGCCAGAATTAGACGGTGCAGAGCAGTAGAGTTTGGAGCTAGAGTGGTAGAGTGGGCGGTGAGTCTCCAGTTCTCGCACTTCTTCATCTCCCTCCTCTTTGTGGAGGTAGGGATTGTGTGGCTTGCAAATGATCCACGTTCCCTTGACTTTTCTCTTTACACAAACAGGGGTTTTAAGTTATAGACTGAGGATTTTTACAGGGCTCAAAGGGTGTTTCTCTTTTTGCCAGGTACTTGACTATATACATACACATACATACATACATACATACATACATACATGTGTGTGTGTGTATGTATATATTTTTGGTATTCACAGAGATGTTGCTGTTGGGTTCAAGGTCACACAACAAGTCAGAGGCAGAGGGGAATCAGGCAGAGGTTTGGGGCCAAGTCTGTGCTGTCTGACCTAGAAGATTTTACAGTTGGAAAACCCGAGGCTGGAGAGGAGATGCCACTTGCTCAAGGTCACACAGAAGGGGTGAATGGCCTGCGGAGCAATGGCAGGGCTGGGCTGCGGCAGGAGCTGCGGGAGGCTGAGGTGACACCTGGAGGAGGGCTGGGCTGCCGGCGTTTTCCCGCCCTGGTCCTCTCGGCCCGGCCCGCTGCTTTTGCTTGTTGTGGAAGTGGGTTCCGCAGCAGCAGGCGGTGCGGGGCTGCAGATGCTGCTGTGCGGGCTGACTGGCGAGGAAACGCCGAGGGCCGAGGGGCTTCTGGGCTGCTTTGGGCGGGCCGGCTGATGTCATGTGAGAAGCGTGCACACCTGGAGCCAGATAAGCTCCGTGTGACCTGGCAATGAGTCACGAGGCACTGCGGAGCTGAGCATAAGCGGCGGGCGCGGCGGGCGCGGCGGGCGCAGGCCAGGTCAGCCTGCGCCACCCTGCTAGGCGCTTCACGGTCGGTCGCGGGCTGGCCTGGGGAGAGGGGCCTCGCCTGGAGGGAACAGAGGCTCCCGAGGTCAGAGGCCAAGGGAGAGAGGCCGGCCCCCTCGGGAAGGCATTTCCTTTGTATTTATTTATGAGTGTGGTGTGGTGTGGGGGCTGGGGGACTGACCTAAGAACCCATCCTCAGCAGCTGAGTGAGGGCCTCAGTTTGGGATGCTAATGCTGTAGTAGTTGCCATTTCCTGGGGTTTCTGCTTTGCCTGCCTCAGGACGGTCCATTTAATTTTGTCCTAAAGCTACAGAACGCTACTGAAAGTTTTTGAAGACAAGAAAGCGAGCTTTTATGCTGGCCATGGAAAATCCTGTTTACGGCTTAGATACCAGTGCATTGTTCACTACCTTGTCAAGACTTCTCTCCGTTTTTTGAAATGAGCACCCTTCCCATCTCCAACTCTAGAGTTAGACTTTTTGTTTCGTTTTGTTTTTGGTGCAGTCCTGGCGATTCAAACCCAGGCTTATCATAGGTGCCAGTCAAACCCTTTACCGATGAGCTATAAGGCTAGCTCTGCAGAGATCTTAAAGGCTTGTTCTGTTGATGTGTAGAAAGGGTTAAAGTTACATCAAAATGCAATATAACATGCATTTGTTTGTTTTCTGTAGAAAATAAAGCATGCAGAAAAAATAGAAGAAAAGTTGCACAAAATCCCATTCCACTCGATTCCCTTGCACACAATCAGAACACATATATCAGCTGACTACTCACATTGTAACAACTTATAGCATGGGCCAGAAAAATGGCTTAGCGGGTAAAGGTACTTGCTGCCAAGCCCGATGGTCTGTGTTCAATTCCTGGGACCCACATAGTAGAAGATGAGAACTTTTACAAGTTGTCCTCTTATGTCCACAGTGGTGCTGTGGCACATGAGCTCATACACACACAGATAAATAAATAAAGTATAATAAAAACTAAAAATGCACATATACACACATATATAACTGTTTTTAGCTGTTCTAAAATCTGTATCTTCTTCTCAAAGCATATATTCCCCCATAAACATGCAAATAAAATATGTAATATACATTCACACACACACACATACATACATACATACATACATACATACATACATACATAAACAAATTAGCTGGACATTGGTGGCGCATGCCTTTAGTCCCAGCGCTGGGGAGGCAGAGGCAGGTGGATCTCTGAGTTCGAGGCCAGCCTGGTCTACAGAGTGAGTTCCAGGACAGTCTCCAAAGCCACAGAGAAACCCGTCTTGAAAAACAAAAAAACAAAAAACAAACAAAAAATTTAGCAACTGGATGGTAGTAGTACACGCCTTTAATCCCAGCACACAGGAGGCAGAGGCAAGCAGATCTCTGTGAATTTGAGGCCAACCTGGTCTATAGAGTAAGTTCCAGGACAGGGTGGGTTACACAGAGAAACCCTGTCTGCAAAAACAAAGCAGAGAGTTTAGCAACATGGGCCTGGGGAGATGACTCAGCTCTCGCAGAGGACCGAGTTCAGTTCTCAGCACTCACCTGGTGGTTCACATCCTTCTGTCATCTCAGTTCTAGGGGGGCCATTGCCCTCCTGTAGCTTCCATAGGCACCAGGCGTGCAAGCAGCGCATATCAGCACAAACAAACAAAACACTGTAGACATTAAAAAAAAAGAAATCAGCACATATTGTCCAACAACTCGTTTTTTTTTAATTTAACAATATAGAAATTTTCCAGTCAGTATACACAAATGTACCCCTTCCCCTTTTATTTCAGTCTGGGGAATTGAACCTAGCGCCTTGTGCATGCTGGGCAAGCACTCTAATGCTGAATTATATCCACAGTCCCTACCTCATTCTTTTAATAACTAACTAGTTCTTTTATAATTTAGCAGTTTCTCTAATGATGCACATTTATGTTTATAGATTTGCTATTAAAAACAAACCTACAAAGGATTAGTTATGTTTATTATGTGAAACATTTATAGATGACCCATATAGATGACTGGGCAGGGGCTGGAGAGATGGCTCTGTGGTTAAGAGCACTAGCTGTTCTTCCGGGGATCCCAAGTTCAGTTCTGTTCAGCTCATAACCACTTTTTTGGTATTTTCTTTTCTTTTTTGTTTTTTCCAGACAGGTTTCTCTGTGTAGCCTTGGCTGTCCCAGAACTTGTTCTGTAGACCAGGCTGCCCTTGAACTCACAGAGATCCGCCTGCCTCTGCCTCTGAGTGCTGGGATTAGGTCCTAGATTCATAACAATTTGTAACAATAGCACCAATGGACTAGACACCCTCTTCTGGCTTTTTCATGCACTTGCACACACATGGTGTTACTTAAGTAGACACACACATACACATACAATTTTAGAATGGACTAGTCAAAATGCATGTATATAAGTAATTTCATAGGCACCACACACTTGCTGCTCTACTAGAAAATTATGCCAGGGCTCACTCCCACAGTATACACTAAAATTGAATGACTCAGGAATTAGCTTGGCTCCTGGCAAGGATCACATACAAGTTCATGAAGCAGTTCCTGTCTGTCATCTGCATGATACTCCTCCCTCCCCCCAGGGTTTCTCTGTGTAGCCCTGGCTACCCTGGAACTTGCTCTGTAGACCAGGCTGTCCTCAAACTCAGAAATCTGCCTGCCCTGCCTCCCAGATTCTGGGATTAAAGGCTTTCACCACCAGTGCTAGGCTAGCATAGCTATTCCAGTTCCTATTTTTATAATAAAAGTAGCCTGGCTTTTTTGATGCTCAAAAAGAAAGAAATGACTCCGCAGTACAGGTACTCGCTGCAGGACTGTTGACCTGAGTTCTGAGTTTGATCCCTTGAGCCTACATAGTAGAACCAGAGAAGAGCCTACATAGTGGAACGAGAGAAATGACTCCTGTAAGTTGTCCTCTGCCCTCCACCTGTGCACATCTGCTCCCACCCCTAGAACAAATAAATGTAATGTAAAACTTGTTTTTAAAGAAATTGTATCAGTTTGTACTTTCATCAACATATATGAGAGTTTGTTTCCCTTAATCCATATTGCTCTTGAAGCTTTTTGGTAAACTGCTAAGTAAAAAATACTATGTGCATGTACCACATGTCTCAGTCTCTTATGGAAGCTGAACTGCTGTTCTTGTTTCTAGCCTTTTATGGTTCTGCATCCATGAATTTCCTGTCTATAGATTCTTAGCAGTAGCTATGGAGGCCTATGGACTCAAGCCAGTAGATCCATCTGGCCATGTGTTCACTGACTTGCCTTCACACCTTTGGGCTTTACTGTCTTTATACAAGGTCTAAAGCCAGGCAGTGGTGGTGCACGCCTTTAATCCTACACTCAGGAGGCAAAGGCAACTGGATCTCTGTGAGTTCAAGGCCAGCCTGGTCTACAGAGTGAGTTCAGGATAGCCAGAGCTACACAGAGAAACCCTGTCTCAAAAAAACTAAAACAAAACAAAAACAAAGGTCTAGACTTAGTCACATTTGTGCTGGTTTGTGCACTCTTCAGTATTATTCAAATGGCAATGATTATGCTTGGGAAGAGGAAGCTGGAGGTTCTCTTCTTCAGGGTCATCCTTTGACTGTGTGCTGAGTTTGAAGCTAGCTTGTCTCAACCTGTCCCTTCCAAAATAAAAATGTTTTGCTTCTGTTAGATATCATTAATTAAAAAAATAGTGTGTGTATATACGTCTGTGTGTGTGTGTGTGTGTGTGTGTGTGTTTGGGGAAGTGTACCATATGTTATGACACACATGTCGAGATTGGAGGACAACTTTGTGAAGTTAATTCTTTCCTTCTACTCTTAGAGGGGTTCAGGGGGATAATTTAAGTCATCAGGCTTGAATTTCAAGTGGCAAGTGCCTTTAACTGTTGGACTCTCTTGGTA